AATATATAATATAAAAGTATATATAATATAATAGTCATTATTTTACTTTCTTACCGGCATAGGCGATGGTAATGGTTCTTCCACTCTCCGCAAATTTATGCAAAATTTTGAATTCACTTTTGATAGTCCATGATCGCCAATCTCTTTGTATATGTATAAGAAGTATTTTGATCTACAACTTAAAATTCCATTTTTTTTTTACAAATATAATCTCATACTTAATACCATGATTTTCTACATACTTTCTCTATATTACACGTTAAATTCACCAGCTTAGTGATGCATACGAAGTCTATTATGAGTGGTGGCATACACTCGATAATTGCATCAAAATCGCCACGTAACGTCACTAAAGCGAGTACCTTGAATCCAATACTTATTTGATGAAGAGATTAAAATAAAAAAATTATGTTTCGTAAAATATAAAGACATACAATCGATTTACCTATAATTTTATTGATTTTGTACATTTTTAACTTGAAATTTCTAATATTTATATATCTTTACATATTTCTCATTTTTTAAGTTTTAATCTTTGATATTATTATAAGAAGAAAAAAAAATCTTTTCAAAAACAGAGATGGGTTGGTAGATGATAATTAATTATAAGAATCGCAATGTAGAAAATGTACCTGGGCGATGGCTTGCGTTATACCAATAAGCGATATTATTACAAAAATAATCGACCTGTGTCTGTTTTTTTGAAAGGGCCATTGTCCTAGTAACGAAAGTAATATATGATTGATTTTATATAACCGAGACTGAAAGATATCATTCGACGTATCCATCTTCAACACGGTTTGGACTACTGCACCATTGGTATTGCCTCTTACAATTTTCAGTCTAATAAAAAATTCTCTTAGAAAGAGAGAGCGTAAGAGATATACTGAGTTACGAGAAATTTACATGACTGATTGTTCCACTAGAATGATAAAAGGCTTAGACGATCAAACACTTATTCTAGAAAGATACATGTTTATGATTGATTTTGTGCTGATGCATCTTATAGTCGTCTTATACCTTGTAATAAGAACTTCAATATCAGAATATTATAAATTTAACGCACATCATGAATAGTGTTCGCCACGTTTCTTCGAATTATATTTTTATTCCTAGATGTCGGTAATAAACAATAGCTTGAAAATATTTCTTGGCAGCTCTTTCAAAATGGTTTGGTTTACAAATATATAGCAAAAATGTTATTTTAGACATTATTTCGTTAACATAATTAACGCGCGTAAAGGTATAAATATATAATTGTAATTTAAGAATAAATTATCTTGATTAACATGATTATTTATTTAATAAAATAATTAATATAAATCATACATAGCAGAAAAAAATGAACTGACAATATCAAGAACAAATGTATGCCAACATTGCCACAAGTAATTTTTTATAATTCAGAAGTTTATTGACTATTATACATGTAAGAATACATAATCGTACAAATTAAAATTTTTTAGAGAGATAGATTAACTTTAACAAAAAAATTGAATTCGAAAAATAATTAACAACTTAGACGCATTGTCACATTTATGTGCAATAACGCAAATACATAAAATGGATGAAAAGCTTCGTAAATGATATATTTACGTATCACACATTCATCGATTTGCAATATTATAAAACTAATTATGAATTAGTTTTATATCATAATTATATCTGCGGTAGATAAGTTAGTGTTAAAGTGATAACAGCTTGTAACAGATTCATAGAATATAATGTCATTAGTAAGAATAGTGATCATTGCTAGTATATATTGTTGATATTATTAGTAGAAGTGAAAACGTATAAGACAATGAATGCTGCACGATCTGAAAACAGTTTATTCACACACGGATAGCTATTGCATACGATTATATTATCCACCATCATTATTATACATTAATAATATGTTATTAACAGTATATTAATTTTATGCGATATGTTTTGCATGAAAGACTAATATTTAATTGTTTTATTACTCATTTAATTTTTTAAAAATAATTTTTATTGAGAAATATTTTATTAAAAAATTGGAATGTGCTGTAAATAATTAGCCAGACGACATTACGTTCAAAATGTGGATAAGATGTCTTAAAGATTATATAATATTATATTATGACATTATATTATGACATCTTAAAATAATCTTTAGAGATAAATTTTTTACCAAGGTATTTTATTCATTTTCACTTGTACTTTGCTCTTCTATCATATATTTCATTAGTTAATAGATTAGTTAGTAGATTAACAACATTATGAATTTAATTGAAAATAATATTATTAATACAATATCAATATTAACGAAACAAATACTTGTTTTATTGAAACAAAAGTATGTATATTAAATTAACAAGATTTTTTTTAATTAAACAGATTAAACAGATGCTGTTAATATATCATTTTTTCTGTGTTTTGGGATCCATTCGGCAATACAAGTGCGGGAATAATTGGAATATATTTTGGTTCTGCATCAGATCAATCAAATTAATAATCGATACTGTTATCCATGGATACGCACTCCACACTATATATGGATGATCATTGCACTTAATCAGTGCACTTTGGGATTCTATAACAAATTTATTACTACTCTTCGTCAAACAAACAAATATTAAAGAAGAAAATAAAAGAATTTCAGCAATTTTCTTCTTTTCACAAGAAGACATGCATGCTTCAACATCAACCAAATCCAATATCAACTTAACACAAGTTTTTCAAATCAAGATGAAGTAAATGAATCTATCCGTAATGATCCTCAAAATTTACATCCACAATTATAATTGCACGAAAAATTCCAAATTTTCTTTATTTTTATTTTTGTTTAATTTTTCATTATCTTTAATATGAGATGAAATTGAACGATATAAAAAAAGAGAATCCATTTAATGAGCCAATAGATAGAGTCCGATCGGAGGATCACCCACAGCACTATAAAAATGTTTTATTGCTTACTGCAATAGAGCCGATTTATATTAAAAACAACGCATACTCTCTTAGAGTTTGCACAGACTGCTACCTCCAAATTGGCCAACCGAATGATTGCGAATTTTAAGTCCTGGCATTCCATATGGGTTATCTCCCCCGAATGGTCGGAATCTCCACATAAATTAAATTATACCTACTGTGACAAACGAATAATTAAAATCTTGAAAGCAACATTCTGTAAAAAATGTATGTCGAAGAATTTGAAAGCGAACATTATGTTTAAAGAAGATCAAGAAGTAAAAGTCACCATTAGACGATAAAAAAAAAAGATAGTGATAGCTTATAGTTTATAATTTTGTATGTTGATGAAGTACTTAAAAATTATGTATATTTTTATTCTTATTTAATTGTAATTATCATAAATCAAATCATACACATTTTTACTCTTAATTGTAATTATTATAATCTAAAAAATTCAATTTATACCGTTAATATATCAAATATTTTGTAATTCTAACCATTATTATATTATTATGATTTAAATTTATTCCAATATTATTATAAAAATAATTAACCTCATGTCCAATCGCATTAATCCATTATACATTTATTGTTATTTCTATAGTACTTTTCATTTCCATTCTACTTAATTATAGGTTAGTCATTAATATGATTATGATATTTAATCATAATCATATTAAAATAATTATTAGATGAAACCTCCAAGAATCCACACAGAGAGAAAGGAATTATGGGCCGATACATGGAGTATATCCAGAAGACCATCCGGAAAGATATAAAAGATAGTTTAAATATTATTGCTTAAGAATATATATAGTAATGTTAGTATAATCTTTGGATAGAAAGAATATCTTCATAAGAGAGTATGTATCAATTATTTCGAGTCAATTCGATCAAGGATTTTATGAACCAAAACAACAATGGCATGGCAGTACGATTTGAATATTAAATCAATCTTGGCTAAAATTTAAGTTGCAATGTTATAGATGCGATAAACCCTTGCTATATTTAAAGCCAGATTATAAATGTAGTTTGTATAGAAGAATTTTTAGAGAGAGTGGAACAGTTATTCAACCTTAGAGATCAGGAATTACAAGTAATCGAATGCTGGTAGTATAATTAACATTTATATTTATTCATGGTAACAAATGTGTCACAAATGTGTGACTTAACAGAAAAGGAGAGTGTTACGTGAGATATTTCCTTAAGTAATTCTTTTCCAAATTAATAACATAAAATTAACAATTTATGACTCTATATTTAACAATTTATAATTAAATTTGAAATAAAAAAAAATCAACATAAGAGAGTCTTAAACGATAATTAGGCTTAATAACAACTCGTCGAGAGATAACGACGAAACATGAGTTGCTATTAAGCAAACTTCCTACTTAGAAATGCTACGTAAAAAAAAAGTGGGAGAAGATTCTTATCCATTTCTTCTTGCGAAATAAAATCTATTGTAAAATCAATATTATGGTGTCTGTCGGCACGGGTATTGTATTAAACAATACAAGTGTATAATATAAGTATATAATTTTAACAATAAAAGTATATTGTTTTTTAATGCTAGAATATTTTACTCAGTTCTTGATAGTTAACCGTTATCCTAGTAAGTTTTAAAAAATAAACATTATATAATATATTCAATTAACTAAATTAAATTTGATGAAATTATTAATAATTCTAACTACACAATATAATGATACATATGTATATATTTATCATTTATCACATATAAATAATTTTGTATAAAGAAATAGTAACTCATACAATATTAAAAATCTTTTTTAAGAACACATTTGATTAGTGCACAAGAAAAATGCTTTAGTTGTTATATTTGTTGTTATATTTGATATGTTAAATAAATAAGATAACAATTGTCATATCATACGTATAATAATTGTTAGTTTATTTATTTAACATAGTTTTAATTCTTCCAATGTAAACCATTATACGCGAACCATTATGTTATTGGACTGACGTGAGCATTGTAAAATAAGACATGGTCATTTTTAAAAGCTGAAAATAATATCATAAAAACGTTTTGTTTGTTCAAACTATTATCAGAATATTACGTTTTAGTACATACCCCGCCAAAAGTCTCCAACGACATTACAAATATATTACCAGCTTTTATTTGGCACGGTTTAGTTGCACGCATTAATGTGAATCTCAGGAGATGTCTAGATCTCAATGAAATCGTGTACCAGTAGCAGCTATAACTGATAATGAATTGGATACATTAATTTTTTTCATTCACTTCATTTGTTTATGAAATATAGCATTAACTTTTAAAAAGTGTTCTAAACATTGAATACATATACATTTAAAACAAACAAATGATGAAATATATTATTGCCAAAGGTATTTGATTTTACACATCTTCACTTTGATTTAATATATGTAAGTCTTTTAAAAATTAGTGCAAAAATTGTTTAAATATTGTTGATAAACAAATGCGTACATCACATTTTGGAGTTCGTTGCTATAATCGATCAATCGTTGAGACGTTAAACTCAGATAATATATGTGTAGCAATTGTGCTACATTAGCAGCGAGAATTCTGATAATTTCGTCGAATTGATTGTCCACCATTACCAACTTAAATAATATATTTTAGATATATTTTAGATAATAATATATTTTAAATATTTTCTAAATAATACAATTATATTATTTAAACATTTCAGATTCATCTTGAAAAAGATTTACCTCCGCCGTGCCAAAACTCAAGCAAATAACTACATTCCCCAGCATAATTAGAAAAGATGTTGCGT